CTGCTTGGTGAGGCTGGTAAGCTGTGGGAAGAAGTTTGCTCTTCCTTTAAGAAGTGCTCTTGTTATTGGTTTTAGCTGGAGTTCCCTGGTTTCTTTGTTGTTGATCTTCTTTAGAAGGTTTTTCTGTTCTGTTACTGTTCCATTGCTACTGACCAAGTTTGGAAGCCCTTCCTCTACATTTCTTTTCTCTAGTTGTTGGAACACCTGGTAAGGTGCTGTTGCTGGAGACTATGGCCACCCCTATTGATCTGGAGACTATATATATATATATATATATATATATATATGAAAGTCTTCTTCTTCCATGTTGGACCCTGATAAACTAGTTTTCCCTCAAGATTTCCACAATACTGCTGCTGGAAGTGGTTCTGCCTCTTACATACATCCTGTGGGCTCTAAAGATGGAGAAACCAGCTGTTGTTTTTACATAACATGACCTTGATGAACTAAACTTGGAAGTTAAGTTCACACTGATTGGAAAGTTCAGCCTGGGGCACCCAAAAATGGAACTTGTGAGGAATTATTTTGAGTCACTGAATATAGCTGACTGGAAGCTGGGTTTTTTGGATAGCAGACACCTCATCATCCAGCTGACAAAGAAGGAAGATTATGCTAGAATATTTGCCAAACAATCAATAATCATTGCAGGAGCTGAAATGAAAAACCTAAAATGGACCCCTGAGTATGACCCTTCTCAGAAGCCCCCTATTGTGCCAATTTGGTTCAAACTATTAAAACTGCCTTTGCATCTCTTCAAACTAAATGCATTATTCAACATTGGTTGCACATTAGAAACACCTTTGAAGGTGGATGCTATTACATACAATAAAGCAAGGCCAGTTATTGCCAGAATTTTGGTGGAGAGGGATGTAACTCTACCTGATGTCAAGAGGATCTGGATTGAAAACTCATTGAAGGGTTTTTGGCAAGAGGTTGTCATGGAGCAAAGACCTCATTACTATCCTCATTGTAAGATGTTTGGACATACTAAGGAGAAATGCTACAGGCTTCACCCACCTAACAGTAGGAGAACAACATACGCACAACCAGAACCAAACACTGAACACACTCATCTACTGAGAGATAACAACAAAGAAGATAATCTTCAGAACTCCATGGTGGTTAGGACTGCTAACACAAACATCCCAACTATTAATCAAAGCACTCCCCATGCTCAGCCAGTTGTGACCTCACTTGATAAGAAGGGGGAAACAGTGGGTGAGATTGTGGAGACAGGAAACACTGAGAATGAGACCACTTCAGTGAAAGCCATTTTAAGGGATTCAACAAAGGCAGCAAAGACCACAAGGGAGCAGGAGGCCAGAGAGGAGGTGGCATCCCCTACAGAACATAGAGTCACAGAACTAAACAAAGAATTGGAATCAAAATGGAAAATTCAAAAAACAAGGAAGAAAAGAAGCTCTAAAAAAGAAGAACTGAAAAAAGGAAAGGAAAAGGAATTAGTCTTAATGGAAGATCATAGTACCCAAAGAAGAGGAAGCAAACTAAGGGGAAGGACTAGATCTAGATCCCAACCCTCCATCTACCCACCCTCCCCATGATCAACATGCTATGTTGGAATATAAGGGGGATTGCAAACCCCCTATCCTTAAAAAGATTAAAATAGCTAAACAAAAAATACAAATTCTGGTGCTTAGCCATTTTGGAACCCATGGTTCATGTTAACACAAAGAACATAGCAAAAATGTTCCCTGGATTTAATCTCTTCACTAACCTCAATAACAAAATTTGGGTTTTCTGCAGGAAAGAAATGAAGTGCTCTATCTTTGTTAACCATCAGCAAATTCTTCATATGAACATCAGTACTGAAGGAATTGATGGATTTGCCTCTTTTATTTATGCAGGAAGCTCCAAAACAGCTAGAACTGAGCTGTAGGAGACCTTTCAGCACATTCAAGGTTCTATTGATAAATCTTGGATTGTGGGAGGAGACTTCAACTATATTTCATCACCTGCTGAAAGGAGGGGGGTAGAACCCCCAATCTTGTCATCATGTCAAATTTCAATGACAACATTCAAAGCACTGGTTTATTTGATATGGGATATAGTGGACCTGCCTTCACATGGAGAAGGAAGAACCTGTGAGAAAGACTGGATAGAGTCTTAGCAAATAATCACTGGATCCAAAACTTTTTGGAGACTACTATAACACATTTAAGCCTTGTTGGATCTGATAACAGACCTTTGGTTATCACCATTAGCCTAAAGAGCTGCTGTCAGAAGGGTGCTTTTAGATACCTAAATGTATGGTCACATCACAAGGACTTCTTGCAAGTGGTTAAGGAGAATTGGAAAAATGAGTCACATCCTGACCCTTTCACCTGCTTGTGGCAAAAGCAAAAAAGTGGCAAAAGCAAAAAAGTGGCAAAAGCAAAAAAAGGTAGGTAATGCCCTCAAGAAGTTGAGTTGGACCACTTTTGGAGATCTGATGAAGGCTGTGGATAAGGCTAAACAGGAGCTGCAGACTCTGGAGGAGGAGCACAACAAAGGAAATATTGATGAGAATTCCCTTTTAGAGGCCAATGAGAAAGTTCTTGCTGCTATAAATTGGCAAGACCAGTTCCTTACACAAAAAACTTCCAAAACTAAATTCACTGAAGGGGATAGAAACACAAAATTCTATCATGCCTGCATCAATTACCAGAGGAAATGCAACACAATTCAGTGCATTAAAGATCAAAATGGTAACAGGATTAGGAAGGAGGAGGAGATTGCTGAAAGTGTTGTGTTATATTGCCAACAACTCATGAAGGATGATACTACTGATAGAGGACATATAGATAAACACTTGTTCTCAGAAAGTAAATAGTTTACTACTAATTTAAAGCTGACTGATATTCCTGAGGAGGAGGAGATTAAGAAATCCTTGTTGTCCATTGACAGTAGTAAATCAGCTGGTCCTGATGGATTTACTGCAGACTTCTACAAAAAAGCTTGGGGGAGATCAAGGTGGAGACTATACAAGCTATTTAACACTTTTTCAAAGGCCACCCTCTCCCTAATTACTTCAATGCTTCTTCAATTGTTTTAATTCCAAAGAACTCTATTAAAAACTGCTGGAGTCACTTCAAAACCATAAGCCTTACCAATGTATTCAGCAAAATTATCAGTAAACTTCTGGTGAGCAGACTCCAACCAGTTCTACCCCAGCTGATCACCATCAATCAAGCAGCTTTTGTGAAAGGGATAATTATAGGGGACCAAATACTATTAGCTCAAGAACTATTACAAGACTTGGAGAGATCTTGCAGAGGAGGAAACATTATTTATAAACTGGACCTAAAGAAGGCTTATGATATGGTAAATTGCGAACTTATCATGGAATGTTTGGAGGCTAGAGGATTCTCAGTGGAGTTCTGCCAGACCATTAAAAGATGGTTAGAGGCAAATTCCAACTCAGTCCTCATAAATGGGAAAGCTCATGGTTTTTGCCAAGCTAATAGAGGCCTTAAACAATGTGACCCTCTCTCCCCAACTATTTTCATTCTAGTCTTAGATTACCTATCAAAACTCATAGATGGCAAGGGTAAAAGGAACAGGCTCAATGTATATCACAACAAAGCTAAGATGGATATAAGCCACCTTATCTCCACCTTATACATCCTCGTATTCACAAGGGCTACCAAGGGTGCAAATAGATACCTTGCTGAGTGTTTGAACAAGTTCCTGAGTGTCATGAGTGTTTGAACAAGTTCCAACAAGTATCTGGGCTGAAAGTTAATAAAGAAAAATGTCAATTTCTAACAAGAAAGAGAGTTCCTATTCCAATCAGGCGGTGGATGGCAAAATTCACAAGCTTTTCTACCATGAGCATTCCTTTTAATTATCTGGGCACCCAATTAGTCAGAGGTAGAATCAAACAGACACAGTTTGATGAGGTCATAGACAAAATCAATTCCATCCTTCAGGGGTGGACTAACTCTTTCTTATCCAATGGGGGTAGGATCACCCTTCTAAAGAGCATCCTCGCATCTATCCCCCTCTATACCCTCCAAGTGGCTAACATGAAAAGAAGCACTACTTTAATGCTGAAGAGAACTTTTAACAGATTTCTTTGGCCTGGGAACAGGAAGCAAATGATTTGGGCTAGCTGGCAAAGAGTGGCTAAACCTTATGAAGCTGGAGGTTTGGGTTTTAGAGGTCTACATCATATGCAGCAAACTAGCATGTGTAAACTTTGGCTTAGATTTAGAAAAAATGAAAGCCTGTGGGCTAACTTCATGATGGCTAAATATTGTAAAAATGTTCACCCTGGAGAGGTTACCAAGAAGGTTGGAGACTCCAAGAATTGGACACATATGCTCAAGAGGAGAGAGGAGATTGATAAATATCTTATCTGGGAGCTAGGAAATGGAGAGATCAATTTCTGGAAGGATAACTGGTGCCCTGCTGATCAATTGGAGCCCCTACAGAATGGAAAAGATGAAGAATTACTGGTTAAAGACTGTTGGAATTGCAATGAGTGGTCTGAGGATGCTTTGAACAAATTCCTAAAAGATTCTGCTGCTAGAAGTATCTCTAAAATCCAGTTTGATATAAATAGAAAAGACCAAATCCAGCTAATTAAAAGAGTCAGATCCAGCATTTCAAAGGACATATATAACAGCTTATTCAAATGGGAAGATTGCAAGTGGAATATTGGCAAGTGCCAAAAATTCTTAACCCCCTCCATGCTGTTCTTTTCTTGGAGAATCCTAAATAATTTAATCCCAACAGGTGACATATTGAAGCTGAAAGGATTAAAAGGCCCTTCAATATGTCACTTATGCAATAATAACCAAGAATCCAGTGATCACCTCTTTTTCAGATGCAATTTTGCTGGGGAGGTTTGGAATCAGCTGATATCTAACAGTAATCTAAACCTGTTGAATGTGGGCTGGGGAAATTTGAAAGACAGCTTGAGAGACTGGCAGGAAATCAACTTGATGCCTCTACCCTTCATAGTTTCTTGGTTTATTTGGAATGTTAGGAACAAGGTGAAGCATGAGGATAGTGTGTCTCCTTCTGCTTCTGTGGCAGCTGATCACCAGCGCCACT